AAGCTTGGTGGTTGCATCTGGGAGGAGGATAAGCTTTGGGGGGTCCCAGGTGGGAGGAGGACAAGCTTTGGGGGTCCCAGTTGGGTAGACAAGGTTGGAGGTCCCAGGTGGGAGGTGTAGGATAAGCTTTGGGGGTCCCGGGTGGGAGGTGTCTCCTGGGTGCTGTGGGGGGAGGACAAGCTCAGAGCTCCCAGCTGGGAGGAGGACAAAGCTTGGGGGTCCCATCTTGGAGGAGGACAAGCTTTGGGGGGTCCCAGGTGGGAGGAGAACAAGCTCAGAGCTCCCAGCTGGGAGGAGGACAAAGCTTCGGGGTCCCATCTTGGAGGAGGACAAGCTTTGGGGGGTCCCAGGTGGGAGGAGAACAAGCTCAGAGCTCCCAGCTGGGAGGAGGACAAAGCTTCGGGGTCCCATCTTGGAGGAGGACAAGCTTTGGGGGGTCCCAGGTGGGAGGAGAACAAGCTCAGAGCTCCCAGCTGGGAGGAGGACAAAGCTTGGGGTCCCATCTGGGAGGAGGACAAGCTTTGGGGGTCCCAGTTGGGTAGACAAGGTTGGAGGTCCCAGGTGGGAGGTGTCTCCTGGGGGCTGTGGGTGGAGGACAAAGTTTGGGGGTCCCAGCTGGGGGGAGGACAAACTTTGGGGGTCCCAGTTGGGAGGAGAAGGTTGGAGGTCCCAGGTGGGAGGTGTCTCCTGGGGGCTGTGGAAGGAGAACAAGCTCAGAGCTCCCAACTAGGGGGAGGACAAAGCTTGGTGGTCCCATCTTGGAGGAGGACAAGTTCACAGGTCCCAACTGGGAGGTTCCCCCTGTGTGGGACCATTAAGGGCCACCTCTGGGTGATCCTCTGTTGCCACCAGGGCCAGATCTGGTGCTTCTGTGGCCTCCCCTGACCCGTGTGTGTCTGCAGGTTGGATGGCAAACACGTGGTGTTCGGCCGCGTGAAGGAGGGCATGAACGTGGTGGAGGCCATGGAGCGCTGCGGCTCCAAGGACGGCAAGACCAGCAAGAAGATCACCATCACCGACTGTGGGCAGCTCTCATAGACCTCCTGTGCCCCCCCTTGCCCCTCCCTGGGGACCGTGCCCGCTGCCCCTCACCCTCTGCCACCCCTTCCCCATGTCCTGCTGCCTTTCTGCTGGGCCTGGGCCACCCCTGCTGGGCTCACCTGACCTTGGAGTCTGAATAAAACGAGTTCAACCACAGCAGCAGTTTCTGTGCCCCAGTTGGGGGGGCAGGGAGGGTTACTGGTGGGTGCTGTGGGTCATCAGTAGGGTTCAGAGTGAATGGGTTGTGGCATTGAGCTGATAAAAGGGGAAGGGGCTCTTGCCACAAGGGAGGTCCCAGTGCTCCCAGTTTGGGGGGGGGGTTCCCCTGAGCCTGGACTCCCCCTGGGGATCTCTCCTTGGGTCTGGACACCTCCTGGGACCCTCCCCCAGTCCTGGGTCACACCATTGGCACAGCCACACTGTGGGAAGGGACACATGGACCTCTCAGAGCTTCTCCTGTGGCACCAAAGAGCCACCTCTGGCCCTTGGCACTGAGTCATGGCCATCGTGGCCACCACCAGGGCCAAGTTCTGCTCCTGAGTGAGGCTGGAGCCTCATGGGCAGCTCTGAGAGAAGGCTGAGCAGCACCAAAAGTGTGTTGGTGGAGGGAGAACCTCCCCAGGTGATCCCTGCAGGGAGGGAGATGCAGGTGCCAAGCAAAGGTGGATGAAGACAGAGCAGATGATGCTCAGGTCCTCACTGAGGGTTTCCAGCTATGACTGGGACAACCTTGCCCAGAAACTGCAAGTGTTTAGTCTTCAGAGCCACCTCTGGCCTATGGCACTGAAACACCATCATTGTGACCTGGTGCTGGTGAACGGCCAAGTTCTTCTGTTCCTGTGGTTTCATCCCAAATTCTCCTCAGGACAGAGCCTCAGGGACAGCTCTGAGAGGAGAGAAATTCCAGCAGCACCATCAACATTGGGGTGGTGGAGATAGAACCTCCCCAGGGTCAGCCCTGCAGGAAGAAGATGCAGGTGACAAGCAAAGGTGGCTGAAGACAGAGAAGATACTCCAATACCCAGGAGACCCCCCCGAATACCCAAGGGACTCCCTATATCCCCCATTCCCCCCCATATTCCCAATCCCATTCCCAATCCC